AACCACATTTTGAAAACAAGCCGCCCTGACACCGTGAAACTCTTGCAAATGTTTAAAACGAATGTGCGTGGCGCTAAAGCGAGAACAACACTTTGAAAACGACCCGCCCTCAACCAGTGAAACTCTCGCGCAATTTAAAAACGAATGTGCGCGGCGCTGAGGAGAGAACCACATTTCGAAAACCACCCGCCCTCAATCCGTGAAGCTTTTGCAAACTTCTAAAACGAATCCGCGGCGCTAGGGCGAGAGCCACATTTTCAAAACCACCAGCCCTCAATATGTGAAGCTCTTGCACATTTCTAAAACAAATGCGCGCGGGGCTAGGGCGAGAGCCACATTTTGAACACCACCCGCCCTCCATCTGTGAAACTGTTGAATTTTTCAGAATCAGGGTCGTACGTGGTGAAGATGTCTCAAGCGAAACGCCCGGCCCGCCCTAACGACCGGCCTCGGTGTGCGACTGGGAACAGCGAATAGCGATCTGCATCTAGGCGACGCGTGGGCGCAGCAAGGGGGCGCCGCTGTAAAAATAGGAAAAGGAATGGAGGAGAAGCAGGCGGAGGATGATGAGGATGAGGAGGAGGAAAAGGAGGAGGAGTTACACCATGATGGGGAAGTGGATGATGGGAGAAGTGGTGAGGGAAGAAGGAGCGAGCACTGGACCGAGTGGAAGGAAGGGAGTATGAGGGTTGTTCATGGGATGGCGGGGCGGGGGAGCCGATGGGGGCCGCTGAGATGAGGCACTCGCAGAGCCCTCCCTGGGCGTCGCATCTCGTCAGGCCGATCGACAGGGGCGCTCGAGTGGCTTGGGCAAACAGCTAGGCCAGGCTGGGAGCACCGCAGGGGCATGCAGTCCGAAATCCGCGCAGACCTCGGAAGGTGATGGGTTTTTAACGGTTTTCCCAAACAGATTTTGCACCACGGGGTCTTGCATGTCTACTGAACAACTGGTTGGGCATCTGGGTCTTCGGGCGGTGATCGACCGTGATCGCCTCGAGGCCGCCTCGTGCGCTGGCCGGCGTTTCTGGGTTTTCGGCTGGTGGCCGCCCGTAGATGGCTAGTGCGCGAGCTGGCGTTTCTGGGGTACTCCGCCACCGTGCCCCCTGGCGCGTTGAGGCGTGGACGAGTGCCAAGGTCTGTCTTGCATGGTTCCTTGACTTCTGATAAGGGTCCCCCCCCTCCCTCTACTCGCGGACTGTTGCGTGCATCACCCCTACTCACCAGGGCCACTTCCCTCGTGCCTGCTCGAGGATTGTGCACTTCCAGCATGGCAGCTACTGCCAAATCCCCTATTCCACGCGTGCCCGCTCGAGCTGGTGTCTAAACCCCCATTCCACGCATGCCCGCTCGAGGACGTGCACCTCACGCATGGCAGCTAATGCCTGAATCAATCTGAAACCCCATTCATCGCGTGCCCGCTCGAGGATGGTGTACTTCCCGCATGGCAGCTAAAGTCTGAACCATCATTTCATGTGCGCCCTCTCGAGGATGGTGTACTTCCGGAATGGCTGCGAACTCCTAGCCCCACGCGCACCCAATCGAGGATCGTGCACTTCCCGCATTCCCAGGCGCTGCTCCCAAGCGTCCAAGGCCTCCCAAGCAACGATCCATCTATCGTTTTGAACGATGAATACGCGTCCCGGGCTTCCAAGACGGCCTGTGCAGGCAACCACGGACACCAAGATGGGCCAAGATGCCTCGCAGACGGCCCAGGATGGGCCGAAGGCGGCCCAAGGACCTCCAACAGGGTCCGAAGGAACCAAAATCATTGATTTCCCATCGGTTCTTGAATGATTTTCGCATTCTCGCCTTTTCGGGCTGCCGTCAGCTCAAGACGGCCCAAGAGGACTCCACGATTGCCCATGGGGCATCCAAGACGGCCCCAACACGTCCCCAAGACGGCCCAAGAAGACCCGTCGTGGCCCAAGATGCCCTTTCAAGGCCCGTCGACGGCCCCACGACGGCCCCCAGACAGCCATCATACTTTGGACACCCGAAATGGGTACCGAAATAATGGGTACCATGCCCAACAACAAATGTTGTCCCAAACCAACAGCGGCCGCTGTTGGGCAGGCGGCCTTCTGTCTCGAATGGACACAGGCCGCGGCGGCGTGGACAGCGAATCCTGTTCAGAATGAACAAGAACTGCTGTTGGGCATCGTACCCATTCTTTCCGTGCCCATCTCGGGCGTCCAGACATACGCCCAAAACGGCCCCAAGACCGCGCAAGATAGCCCCAGGCCGGCGTAAGAGGGCCCCAAGAAGGCCCCAAGGAACCCCCCAAGGCTGCCTCATAGAAAACAACCAAGGCAACCCCACGACGGCGAAAACGAGTTTCATCATCACCATCACCATCATCGCCATCGTGATCATCATTTTGCTCATCCTCACCCTCAACATCACCAACATCATCATCCTCATCATCATCAACATCATCATCAATAGCATATTCCTCATCCTCACCCTCATCTTCATCTTAATCTATGTCATCGTCATCGTCATCGCCATCACCGTCGCCGTCATCATCAGCATCATTCCCACAACAATCACAATCACCATCACCATCACCATCATTATCACCATCACCATCATCATCACCATCCATCACCATCATCATCAACATCATCAGTTCCATCATCGTCGTCACCACCATCACCATCATCACTATCAGCACCATCATCATGATCATCACCATCACGATCGCTATCATCATCATCATCATCATCATCATCATCACCATGACCATGACCATCACCATCATCATCATCATCGTCATCTTCATCATCACCATCATCATCATCATCGTCCAGCTCCACCACCATCGTCATCACCTGCATCATCATCATCACCACCACTATCACCATCACCACCATCACCTTCATCATCATCACAATCTGTCGTCGTCATGGTCATCGTAATCGCCACCGTCGTCGTCGTCATCATCATCGTTGTGATCATCATCATCATCATCACAACCATCATCATCATCCTCATCATCATCGTCAACATCATCACCACATCTCACATTATCATCATCATCATATCATCATCGTCAACATCATCATCGTCATCGTCATCACTATCATCTTCGTCGAGGCGACCCCGACATCTCACTACATAAGGACCCTCGCTCAACAACCTCGCATGCACGGCAGGAAAGCAGCGCTATTCGTAGATTTCGGCAAACCTTCCAAGCAACGAGCGAACTTTTGACACAGGTTGTCGCGGTGGCCCTACTTACAACACTTCAAACGCTCCAGCTTGCAACTTTGGGTTGTCACAATGCCCCTACCATTAGGGAAGCTGCTCAAAATCCCCAAAAAGTTGGATCGGAAACAGAACATTGAGCCATTGCATTCTTGGAAAAATGTGTTTGTTCCAATGTTTCATGATAGTCCGACTGCCGCTTCAATCGTACGAAACAACCACGCGCGCTGCACGATAAGTCTGCCAAGTCTCTTGCATTTCTGCGTGCGCGCACTTCCTCACCATCACCCTCACCATCGCCATCGCCTCACCACCGCCGTCGTCATCGCCAATCGTTGCCGCTATCGCCATCATAAACACAACCACCTTCATCACCGACGCATGGACATCATCACCCTCATCGTCGCCACCAACATCCGCGCCGTCTTTGGCCCTGCCACCGTCATCGTCATCGTCGCCCCCACCATCGCTACTATCATCGTCATCATCGCACCCACCGACCCGTTCTGAAACGCCCACGCGCCAACGCTGCCGTTGATACGCGCTGGGAACATCCTACCGGTAAGCGCCATCGCGGCCGCATCCTTGAGCCCAACCACATCCTGCGCGCGAGCGTGCGCGCGCAAGCGCGGTCGTACAGATGCGCTCGCACGTGCCAAGAAATTACCACAATCGTGGTCGTATGGTTTTTGCCAAATAAGTTGCGGGTGGGAGGGCGGGGTGTTTGCGCAAGCGTTGGCATTGACGACTTCAAGTTCTGCAATGTGGGTTGCACCGGATGAATTGCGTTACGTAATTTGCACCGCAGGGTTGGCCTCACATGAACTTTGCAACACATCTAACATATTATGGAGTATACCGAATGTATGGCAACACGTATATGGCGCCGCATGCACCACGTATATGGTACCGAACTCAGAATACACATCATATATCGCACATCGATAGCACAATAACCAACTCTGCGGGGCTCACGCTGGCGAACGTGTGCTCGTCCAAGGAAATAAAGGGCGGAACCCACCAATGCGAGTATAAACAGCTGTGTGCCGTGATGACATGCACGCGTACTGGATGTCGACGTTTAGGCTGTCTGTACCGTGGGCAATTTCTTGCGTGTTGCAGCGCCCTACTACTAGGACTTGGATATGCCACACTTTCCAGATACGCACCTGTGGGAAGAGTAATGCGTGCGTAGGTAATGGAAGCATTTTTCCTACGCCCCCCCAACCTCCCAACGAATTCCCGCTGACAAGAGGCCCGTGAGTGTGCGAACTGAGGGGTGCCGCAGAACGGCTGACACGAACATGGACAATACCATGGGTCTTTTTCTTACAGCCCCTCAGCTGCTAAGAACGATGCTTCAATTCATTCGCGGCATCGCTTGCCTGGCTTGAGCAGGCTCGAGGCGACCCCGACATCTCACTACATAGGGAACCACGCTCAAAAACCTCGCATGCACGGCAGGAAGGCAGCGTTATTCGTAGATTTCGGCAAACCTTCCAAGCAACGAGCGAACTTTTGACACAGGTTGTCGCGGTGGCCCTACTTATACCACTTCAAACGTTCCAGCTTGCAACTATGGGTTGTCACAATGCCCCTAACATTAGGGAAGCTGCTCAAGAGCCCCAAAAAGGTTGGATCGGAAACAAAACATTGAGCCATTGCTTTCTTGGAACAATGTGTTTGTTCCAATGTTTCATGATAGTCCGACTGCCGCTCCAATCGAACCTGAAGCTGGACTTTTTCGCTGACATTTGACGGATCCGTCAGGGTGACCTTCGCAACCCATGCGGTCAATCATACTTTTCCCTTGCTGCACCTTTGAAGACGAACTGGCTCATGACAAGAAGAATTTGGGATAGCAAGCCAGAGAGTGCCTTCATTCTATCGTCCATACCCAGCATCAGATGCCAAACGCTGGCACCTGAATTTGGAGAGACTGTTGGAGTCTGGTTGAATGTCATCATCCACTGGACCATGAGGAGCGAAAACAATGTCCATCCCAAGCCCTGTAAGAATACATGCAAGCCTCCCCCACGGAAAGGCTGCCACAACTTGTAGGACGGCTTGGTGGCGTAGCCTGACTGTGTGCCCGATCGCGCCGCCAATCACAACCTCCGATCGTGCGATCTGAACGCGGCCCCGATCACGAAAACCGCGCGCGTGGATAATGGGCCGATCGCGAAAGCCGACCGCGCAATTAGGCGAGACTGTTCAAGCGACCCGCGGGAATATGGGCAGCGCCCGCGCCGAACGCGACCCGCGAACGCGGGGCCGGCAGACACTACGGACGCAGCCCAGGATGTGGGTGGCAGGCGGCGAGATCATGATGCAAGCATGTGCCATTCCGACGGTGTCCCGAATGGTACCGCCCAGGCAGCTGCGCCCGACGACCGCCTCGGTGTCCAAGGGCAGGGGGGCCAGCTCGGAGCTGCCTGTGGACAGCGAAAGACAAGCCAGGTCCTGGACACATCATATTCATGAGGGTGCCGAACAGTCTCAGGCTCTGCCCGCGTGCGCCATGACAAGGAGGGTGGGGCGTGTCGCGCCCTTGCTGTTGCCGGAATCAGCTGTTTTCGTTTTCGCCGTCCCCACTGGATGGCCCAATCCTCCTGTGCATGCTGATGCCGAACAGACTCTGCAGACCCGTCGGCGACCCGCTCGCGATCCGTCCAGCCAGCTCGCAGACTGCTTGCGATCCTAACTCACTGTTGTTGCATTGCATCAGGCTCTCCGCCTAGTGCTGACTGTTTTGCACACTGCGATGGCCCTTTTGCCCAACGGGCTCCGGTGTACGCGCGTGTCATTCTTGTTTAGCGGACCAATGCCTTCCGACGACCGTCAATACTGCTTCTGACTGCGGGCTATCTTCAGCATTCATGCCTTTCGACACTAGCCGTCCCATGTGTTCAAAGGCCTGAGAGATGCTCTTTCCTCCCCACTGCCCTAACCCCTTCCCCCCTCACCTTCGTATAGCCGCGTACGTAGAGCCTCCTCGAACCTTCAAATGTCGCGTCCCGAAACACACCGTAACAGCAGAATTTTCTGTGTTTGAGCCTCTGGAGACCGCGTTCGCGCAATGGGCGTACTCGTGTCGCGGAACAAATGCGAACGTTGGGGTCGAACGCTCGGAATCCCAACGTAATACACCAAATCAAGACATCGGAGGAGGAACAAGGGAGAAGGGAGGAGAAAGAGGATGCTCTGAAAAGGCAATCAATCACCCTCCTTCTCCCCAAAAACCTACCGAAACCGCTGGACCCCCCAGAAACCTCCGCATACCTCCAAAAGCCTCCGAAGTTTCTGGGAATTTGCAGGAACCTCCAGAAATCTTTGGAAATACGGCGACAACCTTATAGAACCTGCGAGCTTCCCCTCATCATCCTAGCCAGCCGCCGCGGCCAAAGCCGCCAACGCCGACGACGATGCCGACGCCGACGCTGGCGGCGGCGAAAGCGACGACGCCAACGCTGACAGCGACGCCGCCGACCTCGATGACGACGACGACGACGACGACGACGACGACGACGACATCGACGCTGACGACGACGCCGACGACGACGGCGACGACGCCAATTCAATTCTCGGGTCATAGCTCAGGTCTCCGCAGCCGTTCGGGACGATCTGGGCACCCCTGGAACACTCTCGGCGAAACGCGGCTGCTGGAAGGCATCCCGAGGCTGGAGAGCCCCCGGCAACCTGCAGAGACGCGACAGGAACAGCCCGACACGACGAAGACCGTCGAGCACATCATACGCAGCACCCCGCAGTTGCGGATGAGAGCGAGGAGGCCGGCGCTGGGTCGCTGGGTGGGTCCCCGGGTGGGTGGCGGGGTGGGTCCCGGGGTGTGTGTGGCGGGGTGGGTCGCGGGGGGGTCGCGGGGGGGGGTCGCGGGCGAAGGTGACAACAGCAAAAACCATCATTTTAGGACTGTTCGCGATTACTGGCACGCGTGTCTTGCATTCTGTATACCCCAACCCTCGATACCCGCCCACTTCGTCTTCGATCGCACCCCCTGTCGGGGGGAACGTCTTCCCTGTCGGCCACTGACTGAAACTCGAGTTCCTGAGTTTGAGGGCCTCTCTGGCCAAGGTCTCTCGGAATACATATTGACAAATATCGAATGAACGGGAGCCCTTGTCGCCGTGTCTGGGCCTCCACCAACTTGCTTCAAATACGGAACAGTCTCGAGCGAGAGCGCCACTCTTGAGTTCGGGGGCCTCTGGCAAGGGCCTCTGCGAACACGTCTTGAGGAAATATCGAACGGGAGCCCTTGTCGACGTAGTTGGGCCTCCACCAATTTCATTGAATCGCGAGAAACTCTCGAGCGAGAGCGCCGTTCCTGAGTTCGGGGGCCTTCCTGGCCAGGAGCTCTCGGAGTAAATCGTGAGGAAGTATCAAGCAGGAGCCCTTGTCGTCGTGGCTGGGCCTCCGCCAACTTGACCGAATTGCGAGGAATTCTCGAGCGAGAGCGCCGTTCCTGAGTTCGGGGGCCTCTCTGGCCAGGGTGTCTCGGGGTAAATTGAGGAAATACCGAGCTGGAGCCGTTGTCGTCGTAGCCGGGCCTCCAGAGGCACAGTTTTGCGCTCAAGCCAACGCTCGCGCGGGAGCCTCGTTTTCAGAGAACATGTAGCCAGCGTCGAGGCGAGAGCGCGCGGAACCGTCTCTGGAGATCAGCAGTAGTTATTCTCTAGAAATGAGTACTCAACAACAACAGCAATAATAACACTACCACCAACAACAGTAACACCAACAACAGCAGCAATAGCAACACAACTACCAACAACAGCAACACCACCATCACCAACAACAAAAACACCAACAACAGCATTCATTTTAAGACTGCTCGCTCTTATCTGTTCGCGTGCCATTCAACACGTATATCCCAAACCCTCGATACACGCCCTCTACTTCTTCGAACGTATCCCTTGGGGTATATCTTCCTTGCCTGCCACGCGTAATTGGTGCAGTCCCTGAAACAAGGGAAGAGAGGACGGATGGAAGAGGGAAAAGGATGGAGCACGGCAGAGATTGGCAGGAGGGGGGCAAGGAGCAAAAAACACGTGGCAGAACCACACGGGCTGATCGGGCGGGTAGACCCTCATAGGCGGGTCGAGAAGGCGGGCCCAAGCGGCCAGGTCGAGCAGGTTGGTTGCTGAAGCGTGAGTACTGGATAAATCGCAAGGAGGTCTCGAGCGGTAGCGCAAGTTTCACGTACATCGCGAGAAAAGTCAGAGCGAGAGCGCGATTCCTGAGCGTCGAGGGCGCGGCGTTTGAATCAACTGCGAAGAAGCCCCACGCGAGAGCGCGACTCCTGCACAAATTGCAAGGAGGTCCCACACGAGAACGCGATATTGAAATACATTGTGAGGAAAAGTCAGACGGGAGCCGTTGTTGTTGTAAACCGGGGGCCAACAACACAGTCTGGTTGTCCCAATTTTTCCCTGATCAAAAACAGGATGCGAACACCGGGACACGATGGTGACCGAAGGGGGGGAATCTACAACAGTGATGCGGCAGAGGTGAGAATCGAACACAAAAGCAGAAGCCTCCCAGATGGGGTCCGAGCAGGTGGGGTCAGAGGATCGCGCCGCATCGCCGAAGCATCGCCGATGCATCGGCGACGCCAACGTGGAGAACATCGGGCTCCAACATCGAGGCGCACCGCCAAAGCATCGGCGATGCGGCGTGGGCATCCGACCCCATCTGGGAGGCCTAGAAACAGCACTCCGGGCCACGGCACCCCACCTCGAGCACGCACCCAGGGACTCCTCCTCCCTCCCCGGTCCTCCTCCTCCTCCTCCTCCTCCTCCTCCTCCTCCTCCTCCTCCTCCTCCTCCCCCTCCTCCTCCTCCTCCTCCTCCTCCTCCTCCTCCTCCTCCTCCTCCCTCCCTCCTCCTCCTCCTCCTCCTCCTCCTCCTCCTCCTCCTCCCTCCTCCTCCTCCTCCCTCCTCTCCTCCTCCTCCTCCTCCTCCTCCTCCTCCTCCCCCTCCTCCTCCTCCTCTCCTCCTCCGTCCTCCGACCTCCTCCCAGTGAGTGACCCTTCGGCCCCCTCACGCTGCCGCGCCGTCGGAGACCTGGCGGCGGCGGCGGCGGCGGCGCACGGCGGCCTGCGCCCTCCTCGCAGAGCCGCACCTGCGCCGAAGCAATGGGCGAGGCCACAGTGCGGCACCGAGAACGCCAGGCACCCCTGAGCTCCCGCGGCTCCGGAGGAGGTCTCGGGCGCCGCGGCCCTCTCAGAGTGTTTCGGGAGCGGCAAAAAGAGGGGGGCGTCAGAGAGGGGGGGGTGCAAATCATGACCGGCGGCATGTGGGCGGCCCAGCGTGGGGGCCAGGGACGTAATGAAATAAGAAGAGGCGCCATGAAATCCGAGAGATATCATGGCCCCCGCCATGATATCCCCCCCTCTTTTCCGCCCCGGAGTGTTCTCGGGCGCGAAAGAATGCGGGGGCGATGCATGGGGGGGGGAAGAAATGGTGCCCTTTTCGGGCCCTGGAGGGCCCTCTCAGGGGCCCTGAAGGGGCCCTTTTCCTGCAGTCCTCGCTGCTCACCCATCTATCGCCCCCCATTGCGCGTCCTCCGATCAACCGAGGATCTCTGAGACCCGGCGGCTCTGGAGCATATCGTGGGCGCCGCGGCCTTCTCAGAGCGTTCCGGAACGCTCTGCGAGCGTTCCCGAGAGCGTTCCAGGACGCTCTGGAACGGACTCGTCCTTGTCCCAGCCCCGTCCGTAGGCGGCGAGCGAGGGGGGGAAGTGAGAATCGGGCGGGCTTTCTCAGAGGGCTCGGAAGTCCTCGGGCCATCCCCGAAGACAAAGCAAACCTCTGAGATGGCGCGAAGGCTTACGAGAAGTCCCGCCTCCTTCTGAGGAGGCCTTCTCCTTCTCACTTCCCCCCCTCGCTTGCCGCCGAAGAACGCTCCAGAACGGATCCGTCTTGGGGACACTAAAAGGTACCGATCCCGCTGCTCCCCGGACCTCTCCTGGGCTGCGTTCTGACCCGGACCTCGAAGCGAATCCAGCGGTGGCGACGACGGAGGCCCAGGAGGCGACGAGGGCCCCCGAGGAGGCCCCCCCAAAAGAGGGAAGACGAGGGCAGGGGTCGGGGATCTTCTGACACGGGTCAATCCAGACCCGGGTCAGCAGGAAACCAAAAACTGCACTGCAGGAAAAAAAAAACTGCAACGCAGGTCTTCGCAAACCCGGGTCAGCCAATAGGCGCGGCTGCCTCGCGGCCACGAGCGGCTCGCTAACCCGGGTCAGCCAGAGGGGGTCTTCGCAGGATCCTGCAGGATCTGGCGCCCTGGCTGACCCCCGTCTGCACTGACCCCCGTCTCAAGGCTCCCGAAGGGGTAGCGGAGCCGTCCTCGCCCCGGCCCCGTCCGAGCACCACCAGCAGCGCGGCCGCCACGCACAGGCACATCGGCAGCACCGCCGCCGCAGCGACAGCGGCCGCGCCGGGCGGCGCGGCCGCGGGCGGCGCCGCCGCCTCCGCCTCGGCCTCGCACGGGGGAGGGCGCCAACGGAGCGGCGAGAAGGAACGGCTCTTGCGAGCAGGAGGTCGACCACCTAATTGACTTACGTCGTTTTTTTTTTTTTTTTTTTTTTTTTTTTTTTTTTTTTTTTTTTTTTTTTTTTTTTTTTTTTTTTTTTTTTTTTTTTTTTTTTTTTTATATATATATATATTTCTGATTCTTCTTCTTCTTTTCTTCCTCTAGGGCCCACAAAGACATGCATCGTACGTACGTTCGCAGATGTGCGAGTGTTCTGCGTATCTGGTATATTCGACGAAGCAAATCATCTCGGGGAACATCCGTGATGCAACCCACCTCCTGCTCGATTGCTGGACGCCCAGAAGGGGTGCGGACAAACATGAGCACGGTGCCCAGCACTACAGGCCGTCCCAATCCGACAGCGGCCGCTGCTGGGCAGGCGGCCTCCTGCCTCACGTGGGCCACGCCCGCGGCGACACCGACGGCACGTCTCGTCCAGCATGCGCAAGATCTGCGGTCGGTCTCTGTGCCCCTTCTTCCCGCACCCACCTCACCCGCATGAAGGGGCCCTGGGACACACACACACACAAATACACACAAATGACCGGATGACCCATATCTTATCATATGTTCTTATATTTTGTGGGTTTCTGTCTTCCCCCCCCCTTCCCATATCTTCCCATATGTTCTGGGGGATCGACGATTACTTGTGTCTGTGTGTGTGTGTGTGTTCTTCCCCCCCCCGATCGTGCCAGACCTCACGCCGCGGCCGACGCGGGCCGCCGCGCGTGGCACGCCGCGCGGCAAAAAGCGGGGCGCCCACGCGCGACCTCGCGCGGGAAGCCTGCGCGCGCACCTCGGCACGGCCGCGCCCGCTCTGCTGGCGCCGCCCGGCTGCAGCTGCGCGCTGCTCCTTCGGCGGTGGACAAACCTGAAGGCGCCCCAGGACACACAAATAAATACACACAAATCAAAATATTCCCCATATTTTTTTTTAAAAATATTTTCTTTGATCTTGTCTTCCCCACCACTTCCCATAGTTTCCCATATTTTCTGGGGAATTGACGATTAATTGTGTCTGTGTGTCTCTCGTCCTCCTGAAAACCTCCTGTTAGTGCAGTCGGGGCGTTGACCTAAGGAACCCTAAATAAGGAACGAGGCCCCTTTTTTCCATCACTTAAACCTCGATTTCCCATGGAAAACCCCAGGAAAACCCGAGGCAAACTTTGAAACAATCAAGGAACACCGAGCCCCTCCCCAACGAAAAGGGTTCCTTCTTCAGCGCCCCGACTGAACAACCAACCTGTAGTGACAGCGGCCTGGGGCCGAAACCGACGGACCTGGACCCGCAAAAATGACGGCTGCGACGCCCTCTCGCGAACCGGAAACGGCCAATTCGCTGATCGACGTGTCATCCACCACCGACTCCTGGCCCGGCCCGCCCTCCTGGCCGGGATCGGCGCACACGCCACCCTGCCTTGGCCCGGAATTGCGCTCATTGCACCGCTCTTGGGCCCAGGCTCGGCCTGGCCAGAGGCTCAGTGAAGGCGTGCAGCTTCGGCGCCCGCAAATAGGGGGGGGGGCGGGGAAGCGCCGCGCAGCCGCCTGCTCTGGCGTCCGGTGTGCCCAGCTCTCGCCCAGGCAAGCCACTTACAAAGTATTTGGAGGAGGAGGAGCAGGAGGAGGCGGAGGAGGAGGAGGCGGAGGAGGAGGTCCCTCCCGAGGTCCGCTAATAATTCCTCCCAGGGAGGCTGGATATCCCTCGCGGTACAAAAGATGCATCGAGGGGCACCTTCCGCCCTGGCCTCCCACTCGCCGCGGCCGCCACGTGCCAGCACCGCTGCGCGACGACCGCAGTCAACCCGTATCTTAAAGATGCGCGTCAAGAATGCAAGGGCCTTGGAGGGCCATGATAACGCTTTTTGAACGAGGTTGGCCAGCGAAAGTCGCTAAGGATGGGCCGAAGTGGCAATGGATGCAAGGGTACTCTTGGGAGGGTTGCCCATCCTTACTATGCGGGTTGACTGTGCGTCTCCACCGCTCGTTCCGCCGCTGCGCGGCCCGCGCGCCTTGCATGACTGCGCGCAGTCCGCCCGCGCGCGCATCGCGGATCACCTGTCCACCCATGTCGGCACAAAGCTCACCCTGATAGTGCTGCTCTTCTGCTCAGCGGTCAGGAACCTTTGCTTGGCGTGTCGCGGCGGTGATCCTGGCGACGAGCTGCGCACTGCGAGCTGATGACGTGTCGCTCCGCTCCGCGGGGCGGGAGGCCCAGCAAGGCTCGGGACGTCGAGGCTTGCGGACTGGGGCGTGGACAGCGTGTCGCGCCGAGGCGCGGTGGTGCAGAACTTGCGGCGCGACGCGCTAAGCCGCAGTTCCTGACCGTACGCCGCGAACCCGGCGGAGTCATGTGCGACGTCCGAGGAGACGCGCGCCTGGACAAACCTCTGGCGGCCTCGCGCCCAGGAGGATCACACGACAACGTCCACTGGGACGTTTCTCTACACGGGCTCCGAGCGGACTTTCAAAATCTCCGTGTGCACACCCACGAGCTCCTGCAGGAGCTCCGCACGGATCTGCAAACCCTCGGCGTCGTCCCCGTCGCTATCCTTGCCGCACCCCCCCCCCGCAGCCAACACCCAGCTGCCCCAGAGTCGATCTGCGACGACTCCTTCCTCACCCACCTCGGGGATGGATCATGACGACGACGGAGACGGTGAGGCCGGCCTCGTGGGGGCGGGCGCCGAGATCCGACATGCTCCGTGCATCCCGGCAACCCCACGTTTCCCACTGTGCCCGTCGACCGTGGCGCCAAGCCGTGGGCCGAGAGTTGCGCTCTGCATCGTCACGTCGTGCTCGCTTGCCCTGGGCGCAGCACTCACGTGCACCGCGCGCTGGCCACACGACCTTCCCCTCCCATCGCTGCACGCGGGCGCACAGGGCCCCCCGCCATCACTGAGGGCCACGACGAGGAGCAAGGTCCTGCGCCCCTCCTCACACCAACCTGCCATCCACGGCTACGCAGGGCGCCTGCGCAGCTGGGGCAGCTTGCCCAGGCCGTGGAGGAGCAGTCCCTGGCCAGACAAGGCGGATGGCGACGAGGTCGGATTCCACAAATCGGTCGCCAATCTTCTCTCACGCACCCAGCACGCGTGCCCGCGTGTCTGCTGCCGTCACGGCCGTTGCCCAGATCATAGCCACAGGCTGGGACGCCAGCCCCAGCCCGAATGGAGACCGAGGAGCCGCTGACGATGAGGACAACGCCGTAGCGGAACAGTCCCCCGCCAGACGAGACGGACGGCGACGAGGTCGGATTCCACAAATCCCTTGCCAGCCTCCCTTTGCCCCCCAACACGCGTGCCCACGCGCACGCTGCCGCCACGGCCGTCGCCCAGGTCACGGCTTACGGCTAAGATGAAATATCCAGGCCGAGTGGAGACTAGAAGGTCGACAGTAATGACGACATCTGCCCTCCCACAACGCCAGACTCACAGACCACATCTTCGTGTTGGAATTGTTGTCATGGTCATCATTCAAAATTCCAAGCGCCCTGCCGGCGCCCGCCGCAGCGCGGTGGCGGAATCGCGCGGCAACGCATCTGGATAATTCCTCCTCGTCGCAACACCGAACGTTCTGGCAAGGAGGGCCGGGGGTTTCGCATGAGACCTCCTCACCGTTTAGGATCCCGAGTCTGGAATCTCCGAACAAAATGTTCACTGTTTAAGACCCTAAGGCGGGTTGTTCTCAAGATGTGGCTCTCGCCGTAGCGCCACGTAAATGCATCTTAAATGCTTTCAGCTGTTGCGGGAAGGTTTGGGGGGCCAATCAGCAATCGGGACTTTAGAAGAGGGTGCTCGGGACAGGAGGGTGTATTGCAGCATCGTTGATGCATCCTGGGTTTACTCTGGTCCTCCTCCACTTCCTCCTCCTCGTCCTCCTCCTCCTCTCCTTCCTCCCCTCCGCCTCCTCTTCCTCCGCCTCCTCCTCCTGGTCGACGCTCTGGTGCGCGCCAGAACCGAACGCGTGAGCAACATCAGCCACTGAGGGAAGGAAAGAGGGGGAGGAAGGCGAAAAAGGGGCGAGCACGACGAGGCCCAGACCGGGCCGGACGAAACAGGGAGGACCCATGAAGCCACGGCGTCACGCAGGAGGAGGAGGAGGAGGAGGAGGAGGAGGAGGAGGAGGAGGAGGAGGAGGAGGAGGAGGAGGAGTGACCTCTGGTGCGCGGCTGCCAAACACAAGGGCGCAAGGCGCTGACGTCGCAACGAGCGCGGCGATCGGAGACCCCAGTGAGCGCGCACCGAAGGTCACTCCGGCGAAGGGTCGCTCTTACGTCCAGTCGATTCCAGCTCCCTCGTTTCCCCCCCCGCGCCCGGCCCGAGACGGGAGGGGGGGGGGCACGAGGAGGCCGTGGAGGCTTCCGCCTGCAGCGCCATGTGGCTCGCTGCCTCCTCCGCGGTGTAGAGGTACGCGTAGCCGAACGTGGCCCGGAAGAGCGAGTTGTCGAAACTCTGGTGGATGAAACCTGCGTCCAAGATGGACCTCGCGGTGAAGTGCGACTTCGGGGGCAGCGACCGGCCCCCGTGCCTCACGTTCGAGAGCCGGGGGAGGCCGGGCAGCATCAGCAGGAGCGTGTCCTGGGAGGGTGCTGGCCATGCCTCAGCACCTGGGGCCGACCTGGAGCCCCAGGATCTTCGGGACGACCAGGACCGTCGGCACAACCATCGGGACAACCGGGACTACCGTCGACCCGCGTGGTAAGGATGGGCAACCTTCCCAAGGGTACCCTTGCATCCTTCCCTCCTCGGTCCATCCTTGGCCGCTTTCGTTGGCCGCGCCCCGCTCGAAAAGCTTCGACATGGCCTTCCAAGGCCCTTGCATCCTGATCGTGCGTCCTTATGATGCTGGTTATTGGGAGCCAACAGAGGCCACCGACCGTAGACGGGGCGACTCATGGAAGTCTGACTTGGCCCCCACCAATGGAGCTTCGCTACGCCCACACGCGCGTCGCGAGTCACGCACGAAACGAAGCGGCTTCCCGGTTGTGGCACCTCACGTTTCACTTCGGTCAACCCTCCCACCTCCGATACGCTTACCTAGAAGTTGGGATCCAGACCTCCGATGACTTGATTGACTCTTTCAATGCGGAGGTGAACGTTGTCTTATTCGGCGTTTCGACATTGGGTGGAAGGGGGGGGAGGGGGGGGTCTGGCCCCGGACCTCTGCATAATGCGACTGCTTGCAGCAGTGCGCTCTAAGGGGGAGACTCCACCTGCTCGAAGCAGGCGCCAAAAACAACCAAGAGCTACTCCAGGGGGGGGAGGGAGGGGTGCGAGGGCCCGCGCCGATCGGCAAAACAATGAATAAGAAAACGATCACCAACCCGCGGAGCTCTGGCGGTTTTTTCCTTCGGCATGTTTGATCGCCCCAGAGCCCGAAAACGGCCCTCGGACGCCGACCATCGGGAAATCCTCCGTCCCCGAAGGCGTGATTACCCCGACATCCGACGACTCGAGCAGAGAATCGAGGCGGTTGGTCCGTTGACGTGGTTGGCCTCCGGCGATCGGCTCCGAACCTCGGACTGTCAACAGAAACTGAAGGGGCCCTGGCACACAAATAAACACACACAAATAAAAGGATTCCCCATATTTTCCTATATTTTCTTTCTGAGTTTTTGTCTCCCCCCCACTTCCCATATGTTTCCATATTTTCCTGGGAGTGCACGATGAATTGTGTCTGTGTTTTTTTCCCCTCCTGAGAAACGGCTCGGGACAGCACTCTGGCTCCTGGGAAGGGGATCGAGAGGCCTGGGGTCTTGGGCCCACGCCGGTCGTGGGCCCACCTAGACGTCCGACGTCGTGCTCTTTCCCCAGCGCGGCCCCCCCAAAGCCTGGACCTCTTCCTGGGGACCCGTTTCCCATCCCGGGCAGCTGTTTCACGGCCCTTCGGCTCGGGGCTCGACTGCAGAACTGATTTGACCCAGATTTGATTTCCTCGTCGAATCTACAAAGAAGATGTAGCATTTGTCATCGACTCGGCGAGAAACACAATTCTGGGGTAAGTCAATTCTGCTGTCGATCCCCCACTCGAGTTCCGAGGCCCACTGAGGGCCCCTACCCGCTGCTGCACGCGCCCCCCTTGCTGCACTCCGCTGGGGCCTGGGCCGCTGCCGAGACGTGCCAGGGCAGTCCCGGTGCTCTTTCGGCGCCCCCTGGCGTCCAGCATGGACAGGAGCTGCAGCAGCTCCCGCACCGGGAACATCGGCGCGCCGATGAAGAAGCGGCCCCTGGCGCGCGCCACTATCGGCCCGATGATCTGCTGGTCACGGATGTCGCCGTGGGTGTAAAAATAGAATCGCCCCCCCACGGATGCATCGCTGCGCAGCACCTGCAGCGTCCTCACCAGGGCCCCCGCGACGCTGGAGGAAGAAGCAGCGGCATAAGCGCACACTTTCGGAGCTCCGCGCGAATTTCTTGGAGATGCGCTGGGCCCCCTCCCTCCCTGGAGCGCGGAACGCGCCAGGGGCGGCGCCGGAGGCGCCGCCAGGGCAGGCACAACGCCGATCCAGAAGATCCGCGCGGAACTCCGGAGGTCTGTGCCCGTGCCGCTCTTCCTCCTGCCAGGATGTTCTCCACGTAGTTGAGGTCCACCTTTAGAGGAACAAGAACTATGCACATGCACCGATTCTGGCCAGGCCCATCCTGAGCCCAGGATCGGTGCATACGCCCTCCTACCTTGGCCAGGAAGGCATATGCACCGATCCTGGGTCAAAAATGGGCCTTGCCAGGATCGGTGCATGTGCATAGTTCTCTTCGCCCGAACCTTGGGGTAGTCGGGGTGGTACCAGAGGTCGAAAGCGATGCCAAAGGGCGCGCGCCAGTTGGGGTACGGGTCGTCGGGCCCACCGTAGACGCCGCCTGTCGGCGGGCGTGTCGAGACGGAGGGCTGCGGGGGAAGGGTGCGGCCCGCAATGGGGCCCAGTCTCTGCCCTCGGGCTCTCACGGGAAGGCAGAGGGGGTGCCTGGGAAGCTCGGGTCGGGCGAAAGGGGGGGATAGCAAAGGGGGGGTTTGAGAATCAGCTCACGTAGCTGATTTTCCCGGCGCCTCCCAGCGCCGGAGGCGGCCATGTATCGAGGAATGGGCCCCTCGGTGAGGCCGAAACCAGCTGCATGCAGCAAATTTCGTAACCCCCCCTTTCCCAATCCCCCCCTTTCGCCCGACCCGAGAAGCGGAGCGCCCTCGCATAAGCGAGGCTTCCCAAGTGAGCGACGATAAGAAACGGATCTTCCGCGAGAACGCATCGTGAACGTGGGCCGCGGCTCACGCGGGCCGCCGGCGTGGCATGCCGCGTGGAAGCCAGGGCGCCTGCGCGCCACTTTACGCGGGCAGCTTGAGGCGCGGATGTCGGCGCAATCGAACCCGTTTTTTCCATGTCGCTCACATGGGGTCCGAGTAGATGGGAACGCAGGATTTTGTCGCATCGCCAATGCATCGCCGATGCATCGGCGATGCTCTGTCGACGTCGGCGATGCGTTGCCAAGGCCGGCCTGGACACGATTTGTCCTGGGTCCCGTCGCACTGGGAGAAACCAGACACCTACCTTGGGAAGGCCGCTCTCGGCAGGCGCGAGTTGGTGGAAACGCCCAGCCGAACCGCTTTCCTTGCCGCCCCCCTCAGCGCCCCCCCGCGCAGTGGACGACAGAGGAGAGGCGAGGGGTGCCCCAAGGCAGTTCCGCCCAACCCCGCCGAAAAACAGCCCGCCCAATGTAGCTCAGACCTCCCAGCGCCGCTTTACTTCAACATAGACGCAGCGAGGGAAAGATATAGTCTCCACTTAGCAGTCCTCATCGGAACTGGCGTCAATGACGCGGGCCGCGAACGCGACCGTGTCTACAGCTCCAGCGTCGACGTACTTGAAGGCGGTACGGCAGGCTCGTGTCGTGACGACCCCGGCATGGGTGTTTGACACAACGGGGACCGTTTCCGAAACGTCTGGTCGTTCAACATCGACCTATTCTGGGTCGCTGGCGGCGTTCAAGGTTGAACGCTGGCGGCGGGGTCGCCGCTGGTCGACACGACGCGAACCTCCCGTACTCCATCTCCACTCACCAGCCTCAAGGAGCTGGGACCACGACGCACCGCGGGCCATCGGCTCGGTGGCGTGCCCAGCGCTGAAGGCCTTGAGAGAAAAGCTCGAGGACTGAGCAACCCTAGGAACCAAAGCAGCCTCCTAAAGTTCCCCAGAACAACTCCAGCACTGCGATGCCTTCCGCTGCTCTCGACGCCTGGAGCCAAGTGCGACATCCGTACGGTGCGCGCCACGGTACCCCATGGGCGCACGAGCACGGCTGGCGAAGCGTGGAGCCTGATGCCTGGTGCCTCCTCCGCCGTAGCCGCAGTTGCAGGACGCTGGCTTCGTCAATGAAGACCGAAATGCGCCGCCCAGCGGGCAACGTCAGAACAGTGCTTGCTGCCCGACTTGCAGGCACGCGCATTCACCCTGCACGCGCAAGAAAAGCTCCCATGCAAGACGCACTGCCACGGCAATACTATCACCCCCTAGCGACCCAGAGGGCGCGTCCGACTGCTCTACTAGAGTGCGGCTCAGCTTCGGCTTCGGACATAGGTCCCCGTTCAACCTTCGCCAATCTCCTCACCCGCTGCACCCGGCACGGTCCGTGCCAGGGCACGTCCACTCCTTGCTCTACGCACGGCCCCTGGAAAACTGCCAGAAACAGCAACACATGGTCTCCGAACTTCGGTGGAAGGTTGCCTTCGCTAGCATACTTGAGCACACTGACAGCAAACGCGTGCCACGCTCGAAATGCAAATGCCTCTGAGGCGAAGCTCCGCCGGTTCGTCACCACCCGCATGATCTGTCCTGCAGCCCTCAACACATCAGCAGTCACCTCCTGCGACAACGCGGAAGCAACGCCCTACCGCGCGATGATGGCCTTCGGCTGGAACGAACCGTGGGCCGGTAGGCCCATCTGTCCTCCGAAGGCCTGCACCTCCTTCTCCACCGCGTCCACGTGCTGCTCGGAAAGGCGGGATGCCACCGAGTCAACAAAAGCACCCGTCGCCGAGAACGGCGGACAAAGGGCACACCGCGACGACACTTCCAAAGCCGAACTCGAGGGTATAGAGACAAGCATCAAGAACGCCACCACCTCCGTCACCACCTCTGGCGCCACTGCCTGCTCATCTACAGACTGCAGGAACTTGCGCCACTGCTCCTCCGTCAAGCTTGTAGACATTGCGGGAGGCTGGAGGGAGGAACAAGTGAAGGGGTGTGTCGAGAGTGGCTTGAGCCCAGTGGCCACCAGACCAGTGGACCAAGGCGACGGGGCGTTCGCGGGACCTCTGGACTCCCCCAGGCCGCTCATTTTTGCACGCTACATCACATTTACTCAAGCCACCTCCCCCCAGGAACAGTGTGCCGCATGACAAAGGTTGTTATGCCCATAAAATCTGGAACCGCGGCGAGCCGCATCGCCGATGCATCGGAGATGGGGCGCGTTCCTCCGATCCCATCTGCTCTGACCTCGTGTGGGAGGCCTAGACAGGAGGCCGCCGCCTCGCCCTACAGCAGGTCTGTGTCGTGACGACCCCCCGGCGTTGGTCTCTCACGCCGCGCGGATCGGTCAAGCTTGAACGATCGGCAGCTTTTCGACCGCCGGACCGTTCCATGCTGACCGATTCTGGGCCACTGGCGGCGTTCAGCCTTGAACGCTCGCGGCGGGGTCGCTGCCGCGTCGGCACGACACGAACGCACCCCAACCCCCCTCGTGCACGCCGCCGAGCCTATGCGCACGGCCACCGTGTGCATCCCGTCCGGCCTGTGCTTCGACAGGACGAAGTCCTCGGCCACGGCCTTGGACAGGTCGTAGGGCGAGCGCAGGGTAGACAGAGGCGGCGAGGCGCCAGGGTCCGACTCGGAGCAGTCCCGGTGAGGGACCCAATGGTCGCAGGTGGCTATGGGCCAGAGGGCAAATGCTGACCTCCGTCCTCGCCACCAGCCCGTACCAACCCTGAGGCCCAAGCGAGGCACCTCTGTCACAGAAAGGCGTTTTCGCCCGGTGTCGAGCCCCAGGGCCCAAGGCCATCACAGATCATTCCAGCTAGAAGCTCGCAGCAGAAAGATGGTGTCTAGTCTAGGGCTCCAATCGTGATTTTCGCGCCGCCGCAACTGTTGGCAGCGTCGGATCTCCGGGTTGTGTTGCATGGAAACAGCTTCAGGCTAAGGTCGCGGAAAGGTGCTGGACAACTCCTGGACAGCCCCATGACCAAAGCGGGGAACCCCTGGGCAACCTTGTCTGGGCCCCCTGAAGGAGTTGTTTCCGAGCTGCGCATCACCATACAGAAACTTTCCTTTGCATCCCACTTCCAGCAACAACTGTTGTGGCACGTATGGGCTAGGAGTGGGGGCACCCCAGCGCGGGGGCCAGATTTCCACCTCTGCATGGACGAGACGTATACCAGTTGTCGGACATGATGCTTCTCCGCAAGGCGGACCAGGTCGACGATCCCAGCCACGTTGAGCTCCATGAAATCCTGGTGCTGACTTGGATTCCAAGGAATATGCTTTGATAACACTTCACGTGCCCCCACACATCTGTTTGCGTGACCCCCCCCAGTTGTGATGTATGTTCTGTGATGAATTTCGCCCATCTGGTCATAGTACCATGGTGTTGCTCAAGGCCTTTGTCAGCACCGTGCTGCCAAGCGTGTCTCCATCGGGCCCATGAGCCCCTATCGACATGCGGAGCTCGGAACACAACGATTCTTTCCCAGTGGGATCATATCCTTCCGAGGCAAAAGGGCTTCCCAATACACAGCCCCGCGTCCTTCCCCACTCGACCTGGCTACTGCCCCTTATCCTCCTGCCCCGCCACCTCCTTCTCCTTGCTGCTACTCTCCACCTCGTCCTCCTCCTCCTCCTCCTCCTCCTCCTCCTCCTCCTCCTCTTCCTGTCCCTGCTCCGACCTTTTGGCGTTAGGAAAACTTGGATCAACTGGGATCGTGGTGTCTGTGTGGTAGAAGAAGCGTCATGGCGCAACAAAACTGACTTAGGCACAAGGGCCACATATCAGGCGGCGAGCTGGTGCGGAACGCAACAAAAGCAAAGACAAAGGTGAAACACGATACGCCCAGACTGGCGCAGCGTAAACGTGCAATGAGCCAGGGCAAGGGGAGACAACCACAACCATGACTTCAATTATCAAGGGGAGGACACCGAACTGGGGGAGGTCCGAAATGCGCGTGCAGGCGGGCAGCTACGAGAAGCTGAAAATGCTGTACATCGTATTCTGAGGGCGGTGGGGCTGTGGGCAACCCTGACCCGAATTCCTCTCCCTCTCCTCCTCCTTCTGCTCGTTGTCGTCGTCGTCGTCGTCGTCGTCGTCGTCGTCGTCGTCGTCGTCGTCATCTTCCCGCTCCCCATTTTCCCTGCAACAAAACCCTGTGGGCCCAGACCCCCAACGTCAGCTTTTTTCCGCGATGTAGCCTCCCTGAGGTCTCGACCCCTTCGCCGGGACTGGCTCTTTCCGCCGTCGCTGGGACGTCCCTTCCCCGCGCATGTTTCGGTCTCGTGCGGCCTTCTTTCGCCAGATGACCCAGGCTGCTCCTCGATGGTCCTCGCCGAGAAAAATAAAGGGAAATTAGGACACAAAAATAAATACACACAAATAAAAATAGAACCCATATTTTCCCATATTTTCTGGGTTTTTGTCTTCCCCCCCAATTCCCATATTTTCCCATATTTTCCTGGGAGTCGAGGATTAATTGTGTCTGTGTGTTTTTTTCCCTCCTGAAAAAATGCACACGTCCGAGCGATGCCGAGGCACCACGGCAGGCCCGTGCCGTGTCGACCCGGGGGTCGGCTCCCGACACCGCGGCAATCGTTCGGCCTTGAACGATCGGCCGTCCCCGAAACGTCAGGATCGTTCAACTGCTGGGCATGTTTTCCACCACCACCACCATAAGTTGGAGAGGGAGGTGGTCCTCCTCTTCCTTCTCCTCCTCCTCCTCCTCGTCTTCCTCCTCCTTTCCCCTCCAACTTATGGTGGTGGTGGTGGAAAACAAGCCCATCATCAACATCGACCGATTCTGCCCCGCCGGCAACGTTCAACGTTGAACGCCGGCGGCGGGGTCGTTGCAGGTCGACACGACGCGGACCTGCCGCGCACCAGCCCGAGCGTGCGGCCGACGTGCGCGCCCACGCCGCGCCCGGCGAGCGCGCGCGCGGAGGCCCGCCCGCCCGCCCTCCCCGGACCTCCGGCGCCGTGAAGACGTCCGCGCGGCCAGCGTCTCGCGGGTGCTGTTGTGGATCGGCGGCGAGCGAGGGGGGGAAGCGAGGAGGAGGAGGAGGCCCTCTCAGAGGGCGGCGGGGCTCTCAGGAACCCCCGGGCCTTTCGAGGGGTCGTCTGCGTCTTCGGGGGAGGCTCAGGAGCCTTCTCAGAAGGCCGGGGACTTCCGAGCCCTCTGAGAGGGCATTCTCCTTCTCGCTTTCCCCCCGGGTTCGCCGCCGAGTTTTTGGGGGAGGGGCCTCTCAAGCTCTGCGCCGCCTCTGGCGGCGTGCGTTGCGAGCAGGGGCGCAGCACGGCCACAGGAGAGCGCGGCATTGACGGTCTAGCTCCAGGACGAAGCAAGTGACAGGTCGCGGCAAGTGCGAACGAACAAGGACACGGCAGAGCCCCAGGCGAGCGAGGCATTGACAGTGCAGCCCCACTGAAGACGTCAATGCGGCCGGCCTTTCCTGAATGCTGGTGTCTTGAGACCCCCGCCAAGAACACGCCGCGACCCCTCCAATGCGACCCTCAAACGTCCGAGCACCTCCTGGACCTTCGGTCCTGGGGCCTCGATTTCCAGGACGAGCTGGCGACCCCCCCTGGCGCGACTCCCCCAAAGGGCCTGCGGCCGCAACGCGCTGCCCGCGGAGTGCTGCATGCTCTCAACGCGCGCTCCTCTGCTTTTGTTTTGATGATGTTCAAGTTCAAATTCAAGGTCCCGTGCGAGCACGAAACCCGGTCCGATACCGGACGCGGAGTGAAACAAAAGCAATTGCACGAACTACGTGTCCTGTGCTGCTACATGTTCACTGATGCTGGTGCGTTCATGGCTGTGCGTCGGAAAAAAAGAGGGAAGACAGAGGACGCGCGAAAGGAGAGAGGGACGCACGACGGGCAAGGACCAGAGGCGAGGCCAGGGGAGTGGAAGGGAGGGACGACAGATAGGAGGGGGGGCGACGGAGGAAACGCGAGCGGGAATCAGGCGCCTCTGCGCCACGTCGTTCGTGGCCTGCCTCTGCAGCGCTTTGGCTGGGCAGGCAACTTTGCATCGGCTCTGCCGCCTGGGTTCCAGGCCACAAGTAAGCTCAACAGCGCGTTCTGGCTCAAAAGAACAAATTGCTTCTGCAAGTGGGCTTTTCTCTTGATGAGTTCCGTGGCCCAGTGCTGGATGGGCTTGCGAGCTTGTGCTGCTTCGACTATTGTCTTCAGCCTCCTGTGCATGTCTGACCAGTCGTCCGTGTCGAGCATGACATGCCCCACCATGCAGCGTGACATCTGCCGCTGTGTACTTGCAAGCTTTTCACGTCGTTCGCTGTCAGAGGCGCCGTCGGCAAACCGTGCAACGCTGTCGGCGCGACGATGCTATCGAACAGCGGGGCACGGAGGTCGAAGTCGACGTGCTTGTTCGTCAGGGCCGACCTCAACGCATTGAATTTGGCCCATGCACAACGAAGCCCGTTTGCAAGCATAGCCCCGCCTCGGATCTTGAGGTTGCCCGGGAAGCGGTTTCCCAAGTATGCGTGGTAATCAGAGGGCCTCGCTACGTCGATGAAGTCCCCAGCTGCGTCGACGAAGACATCAGATGCATTGTCGTGCAGGTGCTGATCCAAGGTGAAGATCCGGCTTTTCTTGGCGTTCAGCTCCACGCCGACTCGCTGCAGCTCTTCATTCAGCATGTCAAGCATCTCAGTGAGCTCTCCCAGGCTGTTTGCATGGACAATCAAGTCGTCTGCGAAACGCACGTGGGACAGGCGTCTGCTGCGGCATCCAGGCTCGAGCTACACGCCGTGGTCGCGCCAGCGGGTTTGCCGGCGCTGCATGGCCAGCTCCAATCGGCATTCAACGGCAGCGAGCTGAGAACGAACGCCCCTTTTGATGTCGAGCATGTTGTAGGCCCCGAGGCGCCCAATCTGCATCCTGCAAATCGCCGACAATATCTTCGGACGGGGGCGTGGAAGTCCCTGCGCACCCAAAGCTCGAAACAAGTGCGGCCGCGAAATGCGATTAAATGCCTTCTTCAGGTCTAGGCTCGCGAAGAGGAGGTGCGCGTGATAGTCGATCGCCATGCTGATCGCCGCCTCAAGGACTAGCAGGGCGTCTTCTGTGCCGCGGGGCCGCATGAGGCCCATCTGCTCGTCGGACTGTTCTTGGCGGAGTTGGTGCTCGAGGCGGCCGTGGAGAACGCGAGCGAAGATCTGGTGCATCACTTTTAGAATGGCTATCGGGCGCCAGTTGGACGGATTAGACAACCCCCCAGACTTCGGAGGCATGGCGAAATCAGTCTCATGCCAACCTTCGTCGACGCGCCCCTGTCGCAATGCGTCATTTAGAGCTGCGGCGAGGAACTGTAGAATCTCCGGGCCGCCCTTGGAAATTATCTCTAGAGCAAGTCCAGATTGGCCCCGGCACCTGCCTTTTGCCATCTGCCACGTCGCGGCTCAATTCCCCAGGCGTGATCGATGGGATTGTGCTCGCGTCGGCGTCGTCGAACGTTGGACAGCTGTTGTCGCTCGCGAAGATGTCGCCCATGAGCTCTGCCATGTCCGGCGGCCAGTCGGGGGCGGCGTCGCGCTGGACTGGGGGCCGATGTGCAGGAAACAACGCAGATATGTTGCGGAAGTCGCCGACAATCTGAACAGTCTTCTGGCTTTTGACTCTGCGTGAATGGTTGCGCGCTGTCCTTTTTGATTTCCTTCGACAACACTGTCCGTCTCGCTTTGTCCGTGCATGTCTTCCGCTCGTGCCGCAACTCCTTCAATCTACTATCATCGGCGAGGTCAGCGGCGCGCGGGGGGGTCATCGTCGGGGTCTGCCTCTGCGACAGAGACTAATGCCGCCTCGATGCCTGCCTGAGTGGTAGGCCGCTCCGCCGTTAAGGCCGCTTACAGATTGCACGAATAATTGCCTGGCTAAATCCATTTCTGGGCAGGCTTCCGCCTCGATCGCTCGTTCTGGTCTACGGGGCGGCCCTTCTGGACAAGCACTGCTTCGACTGCTCTGTGGTCCGAGCCCAAGTCAAGGCTGTCTACGGCATGCGCGTGGGCTGCGCGAGAGCCAGGCCCGTGCGTAACAAAATCGATCTGCCGCTTCACGCCCAAACTGTTGGTGAAAATATACGCCTCTTCCAGAGAGCACCCCCCGCAGTCGTTGGCGATGTGCAAATTGAAGCGGCCTGTGAATCTCCAGAGCGTATCTGCGCGAAT